TTGTTATGAAGTTTTATTAAACAAATCTTATATTTTTGGAATTCGTGTTTTATAAGTTTTCCGTACATATATTATTTACAATATTTGGATGTACGGTTTGTGATATATGAATTTTGAATTTCAGAAAAATTAAGATTTAAATAAAAAGGCATTTTTGTCCAAATATAAACTCATCTACCCCCTTAAATAGTTGAGGAGGGTTCTTTGGTAAAAAATTAGATGAGGGGTTTACTGGAAAATGTTACAAGTGAGTTTTCTGTACTTTGTCCTATATATATATATATATATATATATATATGTAGAGGACTGCTAAGTGCAGTCTCACATGCAACTGTAGAAGGCAATCGTGCCTCTGAGTGGTTGAAAAACCAATTATAAAATGTATAATTAATGCATCTTTCTTATTTTCATTGAACTTTAAAACTTAACATTTTAAGACCAAATTAACCTTTACCACCTAACATTTTCCTCTCATGTTATATGATTTTCCTTCTTTCATTTGTTACATATATAGTACTTTCATTCTTTATTTTATTTTTTTTTAATGGTTTTTAAGAGTTTATATATGTGGGCATGATATTATGTGAACGAAAAAAAAAAAACTCATGTGAATAGATTATTTTCTTTCTTTTTCTTTTTTTCAATTATTTCCTTTCCTTTGTTTTTATATATATATAGTTAACCATATATAAATTATGAAACCATTCTTTTTTTCGTTTAAATATCAACTAAAGCTCAAATTCTATAATTTTAATTCAATTAACACTCAATCTCATAATATTACTTCAATTAAAACTTAATAATGATAAAAATTAAAGATTCCATCAATTGAGCGCGCGTACCGTTCCTACTGCAATCAAGATAAGGAAGCGAGTTCTGGAGTTAGAGCTTGACTCAGCCTTGACGAGTTATGAAAAGGTAAGATGAAGGGACAGAGCCGGGGATGAAAAGTTGCCGACTTGGCTTGGTTCTTTCACATTCGGTTGACTGCTAAAGCAAAATGACAGATTCAACTATGACAAGGAATTAGAAGTTCCATCACACACGTATATAAAAAGACAATTTTACAAAAAGGTAAATAATGAATGTTATATACATGTATACAAAAGGCCAAAAAAAAAAAAAAAAAAAAAAAAAAGGGTGAACTATATTAAACCTCCCTTTTTTATTTGTGTTTTTCACTAAACCTCCCTTTTTTATTTTTTTTGTCAAAAAATCCCCCTCAACTATTAGAGAGGGGTGATTTAATTCTTAAATATATATATATATATATATATATATATATATATATATATATATAAAGCAAATAAATTTCAAGAAAAAAAAAACCTAGATTTATATTGAAGAAAAAAAATTAGGCATTATTTCTGGTAGTGTCCCTTTAATAAATCTCTATAAAATGAAAATCAATAAAAACCAAATAAAAGAATGCACAATATAATTGTCAAATATATATATATATAGCAAATAAATTTCAAGAAAAAAGAAAAAAAAAAATGTAACGACCCGAAAAGATGCCAAAATAAAAATAAAAATAAAAATTTATAAAAATTTCGGCATGACCTCCACAGAAAATGTCCCTCAACAACCTGTAGAAATACAAAAAAATAAATGCAATGGCCTCACTGGGCCTTAAATCCAACTTATCCTGTCCTAACGCACAATTCAGATATTATATTACATTCCTAAAATGGTTACATACATACAAAAGTTCCGTTCCTCCATCTCATCCAAACAAGGGACACATCCGTTACTTCAAGTTACAGTCCATAATTGTAGCTAAAATTTTAAAGTCTATAGCTTACAACGTTATATCAACTAAACTAAAGTTTCCCAAAATATTTAAGATTACATTTACAAAATATATATCAAAGTTCTAATACAAAAGATAGCAAAAATAAAATAGATCCCCAAGCTCGTCTAAACTTGTGGTGGATCATCGTCCGCCACCTCTTTTCCATATCCTGAAAAATGTTAAAAATAATTGGGTGAGCATAACCTCAATAGGAAGTGTCTAAAACACACTTCTTATATTCCCGTGAACCATACAATGAATAGATAAAAAGTGAACGGGATCATGCCATCGGGAAACGCACATTCTCAACCACAATAACAAGTATGTAACAAATATCAACCAATCACCAATTTACCACAATGTCATGAAGTGCAATGTTATGCAAATGTCACTCCCCATTTCCGAAACAATTTCGTTTCAATAACCAAACTGTTAGTGCAGTCCGACCCAAGGCACCTCCATGGCGTCACGAAATGAAGATTGGTTAACTATCCACTACCACAAGGCACCTCCAAGGCGTCGCATCTGGCTTAGTTAACTCAACTACATTCCCTTCTAGACTACACCAACATCACGGACCACTACGCGCCTCCTAGGCGTCCGGTTTTCGCAACACTTTTAGAAAATATTTTCTCCAAAACAATTTTATTTGTTCTAACAAATATTTTTCCCCCTTTCTCTTTCCCAATGGATGCATGAATGTTTCATACTTCAAATCATTAATTTAATTATATGTTTTTACACATTTCCATTTACATCATCATCACAATTTAATGAAAATTTCTAAACATTCATTTTATTTATTTATTTAGAACCATAGCACCCATTTTTCTTCAAGACAATAAATAAATAAATAATCATGGAACATACAACACATCAAATACTATGCATGCTCATTTACCATAATGAAAATAGACATGTATATAAACTCAAATAACACATGGAACACAATTATCATTGTAATTACACAGAACTATAACAACAACAAGCTAAGTAATTAAAATTTAACATGCTTAGGATCAAATTTAAGAGGAAAAATTCACCAAATCACAAGAAATTGTAGATTAGAACACCCCTATCTCAAATTGATGAAAACCCCCAATTTGAGCCCAAGAACCCTAGAATTTTGAACTCCCTAAAGTGCACCAAATGATGATTGGCTCCTATCAAATTAACAGCCTCGAAGAGCTTAATAACTTTGCTTCACAATGTTCTACCAAATTCCCTAAGGAAAAAGCAAGATCAAGGTTTGAAGTTGCAAAAAGAAAAAAGAAAAAAAAATGGAAACTGCCGAGAGCAGTCTGGTTGCAGCAAGAGAGAGAGAGAAAAGTGAACTCGTGTAATGGCCTTATGGCCTTATGTGTGTTTATAACATGGGTGGGGCCCACTTGCTTTATTTCTTTTAACATTATATATATATATATATATATATATATATATATATATATATATATATCACATCATTATAAAAAAAAACCTAGATTTATATTGGTTTAAAGGCTAGATGGAAATGAAAATATATTTAAATAATATTTAATGATACATATTATATATACCATTATATTATGATACAAATTATATATAATATTATAATGATGGGTAAATAAAAGAAGTTGAACAAGAAGAGTATATGTTGTTGCAATGGTTTTTTTTTTTCCCCCAATATAAATATAGGTTTTTTTTTCTTGAAATTTATTTGCTATATATATATATGAGAATTATATTGTGCATTCATTTATTTGGTTTTTTATTGATTTTCATTTTATATAGATTTACTTTCTAATTTTTTTTTTTTCCAATATAAATCTGAGTTTTTTTTTCTTGAAATTTATTTGCTATATATATTAGAGAATTAAATCACCCCCATCTAATAACCCCTCTAATAGTTTGGGAGGGGAGGGGGGTTTAATGTAGTTCACAAAAAAAAAAAAAAAATGTAAGAATTTTAAAGGCTAATTTAAAATGTTAAGTTTTAAAGTTTCATTAAAATAAGAAAGTTGTATTAATTATATCTTTTATAACTGATTTTTCATTGAGAGGTGTCCTTCTATATATATATATAATATATCAAAAATTCGTTCATTTGTGAAAACTTCAGGGACATCCAGACAGACCTCTACGCCGGGACCATTTCTTCTGAAAGCTCCAAAGCTTAAAATAAAATAAATAAAGACTCTAATTGACTTCAGAAATGTACCATACAGCAGGACATCGTCCATAGTTTCTAGGAAAATGGTAGAAATTAGCAACATAAATAGCTTAAAAATAAAATAAAATAAACTTTAATTTACCAAAGGTTGTGGACGGTCACAAAATTTATATACATCAAACATGGTCCCATTGAATATTATTTTCTTTTGGTTATGGTTTGTTGCAATAATGTAAAGGCTGTCATGTATCACTGCGTAAAATTTATGTGAAGTTAAAGAACACTATCCTCCAACATATGGAGAATCGAGTTGACCTTGTTAAACTATTCTAATGCTGTTGATTTTTGGTGCCATTGAGGCAATAAACAGTGTCTTTTTATGATTTATCAGCATAAAATGACAGGGAAGTAAATACAATGGATTAACAATTTCTATTTTTATTTTATTTTTTTGGAGGGGAGGGGAGAAGTTGAAGTATAAGATAGTGAATACTCACAATTTAAATATAATCATCTTCAAATACAAAAAAAATATTAAAATAATAATAATAATATTGAGATATGAAAAGCCAAGCACATACTCCAAAGCTTCTAGGAAGATTGAAAGAAATTGTATCCATTGGACTTTTTGTTACTTGAATTTTGCCTTATTCGAAGAAGGCCTTGTTCTTTTAAAGATTTATCTCGTGTTTGGTACGCATATTTCATTCTCAAAGTCATTCAATTTGACATAAAATAGGTTGTAAAAAAACCGAACATGGTCATTGTAGCTGGCTTTCAAATTGCCGGAATATTGGTGGAACATGTTCATAAAATGTTCATCCATTACACTTCTCCTTTTTAATAGTAATTAATAATGGATCAGTGGTGAAAAAGTCTAAAATACTTCTTTAAAAAAATATAGCAAGGATGCCTTTCGTAAATATAAATAGAAGCATGCCAGAATCAACGTACAAGCACAACCCTCTTGCCTTTCATCCAAAGTTCCAAACTTCAGAAGAGAAAGCTGGGGAAAAGAAGAAGAAGAAAAAGAAGAAGAAGAAGAAGAAGAAGAAGATGGTCCACGACGAACACAACTGGCACTATAAACAGGCACTACAGGATGCAAAAAACAAAACACCAATGCCATGGATCGGCATCTATGTTGCAGTAGCATCTCTAATATGCTCCCTTGCAATGGCTGCTGATGTCTTTCACGGGTTTCGCCACAAAAAACTCTGGTTCCCGTGCAAATTTTTCGTTCTCAATGCTGCTTCGCTGACATTGTTATCTGTAGCAATGAAGCTGCCAACTGATCTAAGTACCGACATGCCAGGCAAAGTGGATCAGCTGGCAAAACTTAGCAGCACCACTTTTCTGTCTACAGCAATAGGTAACTTTATGCCATCTTTAGGATCCATTGATGATAAAGATATTTTCATGAACATAACAGCCTTGACTATTTTTGTAATCACCATTCTTACGAATATCTGCATCCAATTAGGTACTGGGCTACTAAGTAACTTTCTTCGAGTAGAACATACTGCTGTAATATTTTGTATGCTTGTTTTGTTTGTTATATCGAGTTTCTCTGCTTTGACGGTCTCAACGACTAAAAAGCACATACAGATGAAGTACACTGATGTACATAAAAAGGCTTCAAGTGAAGTTTCAGAGGAAACTGAAACGTTCACTGTCGAGAAGCTGAAAGAGAATGTGAAAAAATATTGGATGATGGCAGAAACCGGTAATCCTCAATTTGTGATGGCGCGTTCTGTGACCTGCTCTGCTTCAGGGGCAATATGCTCTCTGACCACATTCATTCTAGCAGAAGCGGAGATCAGGACATTCTTGACGTCCACAAATTATCCATACTATTTCAATTCGGATTATAAGTCGTCAATCTTCTTCGTTCTTGTGATTCAGTCTATAGGGGTGCTAATAGGTACAATTGGTCCAACCTTTAGATGGTTCACTGCAATAAGATCGAAACTCTCAGAGGGAAGAGGCAAGAGCAGCAAAAGTGTCTTGAAAGCAGAGAAGTACTGGATGGAAAGGCTTGTGTGGTGGAGAGAGAGCCCCTTAGCTTTACGAATCCGGGGCCAAAAGCGCAGAAAAGTTGTTCACATCACAAAGAATCTAATTCTGGACTTCTGCATTAATGTTCAGAAGGTGATTGTCGCGGCTAGCAAATCCGTTTTGCTAGTCTCCGTTCTCTTAATAAACCCGCTGTGGTCATGTTTCCACTACTACAGAGTGTTAAAGCGAAAGCTGGTATCTAAGCCTAGTGCCTCAAACAATAACACAGGATCAGAATCAGAATTCGGGCCTAATGCAAAGCTAGATCTTAGCTGTTACGTTTTGTATCTCGAAGGTGAGGAGGAACTAGCCCTGCAGATTATGAAGAATTACAGAAATGCCACAGATCATTTTTTGCTTAATGGTAGAAAGAAGCACCCGAAATATCTGAAACAGCTTGTAGAAAAATCCACTGGTTTCATGGGGGTGGCAAAATTTGACAGTGATCGAGTTCCATCTCTAAATTCTGAAGAACTGCCTAATTATTGGTCTCTTCCTGTGGTCACCTTAACAACTATTGCCATAGCACTCCCGAACATTGGAAATCATGAGGTGGACCGGTTACTTCGAAGCATTAGTGAAGGCCTCTTGTATGTCAGTCATGTAGAAAAATTTCTTGATGGCAAAGGAGAAATGGTAAACATCAGAAATGCAGCAAATATAGTGTGGTTAGAAGTCGACCTTTTCCGCAAGTGGCTAAATGAAGATCTCCAGAAAATGGCTCTTGAACGAAAAACTTCAAAGGAAACTCTTGAGAGACTTGGTGACATAGCTAAAAACATTGTCATGGAATTCAAGACGAATATGACAGGAGATCTGAAGGAGAACCATCTGAATTGGCCCATTAAGGCTATTGCTGCTAATTCAATGTACCGAGTCAACCAAACTCTGCTTCTAGACCACATATGCAACAATGACGAGACTGATGAGAGACTGTTCGAGCAATTATCTGTCATGATCGCTGATATACTAGGTGCTTGCCTCACCAATTTGCCACGTGTAATAAATATGAAATGCTTTTGCAGTGCCATAGAAAAGAGGGAGAAGAGCGTTCAGCATGCAGCTCATCTTCTTGGCGAAACTGAAGAGATTCTGGAAGTCCTTCAACACTATGAACTTCCTCCTCTGAATCCTGATGAAGCAGCATATATCGATGAGTGGCGTGCTTTAATCAAACAGGAAATGCAGATAACTATTGTGTAGGAGGCCTCTTGAGAAAATACAGACATAAAAATATATAGTTGTATGGTGTGTACTGGTGTATAAATTTTCATCCAACAATAGCACATCTTCTTTAGCTATTGTACAATAAGTACTCATGTGCAAGTTTTCTTAGTTTGGATAATGTGTGAATTCTCAGCATATATTTTAATGTGTGAAAGCTATATTGGACAATGGTATTTCTCCTGTTATAGACCTATTATATTCATACGTGTCTATTTAATTTTTTTGGATTTTTACACAGCCAATGCTCATGCATGACAAAACTCAAATTTTAGTCTCCAGAGCAGGTGCTTTTTCCCAATACAAAAGCATGTACACTTACTTTGTCTAAATGAGGACTAATTATCATTTGATCTGGAAGTTTGATTCAACAAGCAACTCTAGTTGATAAACAGTATGTTGATAGAAATGGATGAAATTAACAATGCAAGTATTATCCAACAAATAAATCGAGTTGATAGCGGATTATATAGCAATGTTGGAGCATGAGGTTAATAGACAAGGTTCATGCTCTGCATAATTCTGAATTTTATTTGGGGAACTCAAGAGCTGGTTGATATATGAAAGAAACAAATGATAGCTGAAAGGAAACCTACTGGAACAAACATGCAAGGTTGTTAGTAAAGTAGCAGCAGTTAGAGCTGGTTCCATTCCCCCAAAACTCGGTTCTCGCCATGACTGGTTGTTGGAATGTGAGGTGTTTAAGTTACATCAATATGCTAATTATTGAGGTCAATATCTTATTAAAAGTACCTCTATTGGAAATTTCTGATTGCTAGAAACTAGAGTAATAAATGAAAGTGTTGTGCCAACAGAAGATCTAATACGTTTTGTTAATTATCAAAACGCATTAGCATTTATATATATATATATATATATCCAATAAGCAATCACAGAAGGAACATCTACATTCAGGACAAGAAGAGAAAATTAATCTACTATAATTAAATTTGGTCGAGAATTACAAAGATACAGAAAATAAACACTCTAGAAACCAAATTCCTGCTCAACGTCTCCAATGAAAACCACAGCCAAATTAACAGTACAACGAATGCAAAATGACATTTTTCAAGCTTAAAAGTCATGTAGAAATTTTAAGTATGAATGCGACATACACGCATAGGGAAAAATTTCTACTTGATTTTTCTTTTGGTCTTCATCTGGATGACTTATATATGAATGTGGACATAGTCACATAGAAAATAGAAAGAAATTGTACGTATGCCACATGGAAGCTTTAAAGACAATGTTATATCATTATGGAAGCATTGGAAACATCCTCATATGTCTATACCCTTGGACCCTATCTTCTGAGAAGCTAGTTAGCTTTTGTTTTTTCCAATACCAAAAACTTTATCCTTCACATTTCCAGTAAAGATGTAGGAAATGTTCACTCACCACCAGACTCTTGTTTTATCGAATAATTAACAATAGATTAATGGAGAGAGAGTTTTTCACTTCTAAAAACAATATTCAGCAAGGAAGCTTTTTAATTGAAAATATATAAAAATAGTAGCATTAGCAGAATTATAAACTGCATATAACTCAAGCTCTTTCATTCCTTTCATCAGTATCACTCATACAGCAACCAAAAGAAAAGGAAAAAGAGAGGAGACAAATGTCTTACTACGGCAGCAGTTTGGCACTTCAATCCGACGACCAAATGAAACAGGAATTGAAAAACAAAGCACCAGTGCCATGGATTGGCATGTATGTTGCAGCAGCATCTCTAGTCTGCTCCCTTGCAATGGCTGCTGATCTCTTCCATGGGTTCCGCCACAAAAAACTTTGGTTTCCATGCAAATTTTTTACCCTCAATGCCGGTACTTTGACATTGTTAGCTGTGGCTATGAAGCTACCAATTTATATAAGTACCGCCATGCCAACAAAGGCTGATCAACTGGCTAAACTTAGCAGCACCATTTTCATGTCTACAGCAATGGGTAATCTTATGCCATCTTTAGGAACGATGGATGACAGAGAAATTCTCATGAACCTAACAGCCTTAGGTATTCTGGTAATCACCATTTTCGTGAATGTCTGCATTCAATTACACACCGGCCTATTGAGTAATTTTCTTGTAATAGAACATATTGCAGTTATGCTTTTCATGCTTGTTTTGCTTGTTATATTGAGTTTCTCAGCTCTGACGGTTCCAACCACCAAAAAACACATGCAACTGAAGTACGCTGGTATGCACAAATTGGCTTCAAGCGAAGAATTAGAGGAAACTGAAAAGTTTACATTTGATGCACTGAAAAGGGATGTGAAAAAATATTGGATGTTGGCAGAAACAAGCAGTCCTCAGTTTGTAATGGCACGCTCCATGACTAGCTCTGCTGCAGGGGCAATCTGCTTTCTGACTACTTTCATTTTAGTAGAAGCCTCACTCAAGATGATCAGGCACCCCAGATACTCCAGGTACTTCAGTTACCCTCCGAATACCATATCAGATTATGGGGTGTCAACAGTATTTATTTATCATATTCAGAGAATTGGAGTGCTAGTAGGTACAATTGCCCAAGTATTTAGATGGTTCATTGCCGCAAAACTGAGGCTCTCGGAGAAAATATGCAAGACCTACAAAACTGAGATGAAAACAGAGAACTATTGGATAGCAAGGCTGGTTGGGTGGAAAGAGGGCCGTTTATGTCACGCCCCGAAAATCCTAAAAAAACCCTCAATTTATACAAATTAATATACATCAAAATACACCCCGATCATAAAAATTGCCCTCTCTTTTATACAAAAATTAATTTCCTCAAATATACAAAAATTCTCCAAATAAATAAATAAAATCCTGCAACGCCGACTCTTCAACCTAAACCTGAATTTAATCATTCTCGTTCATCTTTGGTACCTGAAACTGGAAGGTGGTGAGACTGAAAGTCCCAATAGGAAAAACCATAACAAGAATTTCATCAAGGTTTAATAAAACAGTTTCATAAAATAAATGTAACAACCCGAAAAGATACCAAAATAATAATAAAAATCTATAAAAATTTCGGCATGACTTCCGCATAAAATGTCCCTCAACAACCTGTAAAAATACAAAAAATAAATATATATATATATATGTGTGTGTGTGTGCGCGCTTGATATTATGTGAACGGAAAAAAGAAAAAGAAAAAAAACTAATGTGAATAGATTACGTCATTTTCTTTTTCTTTTTTTTCAATTCGATCGTTACTTTCCTTTGTTTATATATATATATATAGTTAACCATATCGTGTATGGATTATGAAACTATTCTTTTTTTTTTTTTTTTTTTCTTTTTTACATATTAATTAAAACTCAAATTCTATAATATTAATTCAATTAAAACTCAATCTCATAATAATACTTCAATTAAAACTTAATAATGATGAAAACTAAAGATTCCATCAATGTGAGCGCGCGCGCACACACATATATACTATATACATAAAGACAATTGTACAAATTTTAAAGGCTAATTTGGGCTTAAAATATTAAGTTTTAAAGTTTTATTAAAATAAAAAAGATTATTAATTATACATTTTATGATTGATTTTTCAACCAATGAAGGGCGCTACTGGCCTTCTACAGTCATACCGCGACTACAGCTAGGAATCTTCTTTTGTGAAAACTTTCAGACCATTTCTTCTGAAAGCTCCAAAAACTTAAAATAAAACAAATAAAGACTCTATTATTGACTTCAGAAAGATAATATACAGCAGGACATCGTTCATGGTTTCTAGGAAAAATGGTAGAAATTAGCAACATAATTAGCTTAAAAATAAAATAAAATAAAATTTAATTTACCAGAGGTTGTGGACGGTCACAAAATTTATTATTTTCTTTTGGTCATGATGTGTTGCAATAATGTAAAGGCTGTCATGCATCACTATGTAAAATTTATGTGAAGTTGAAGAACACTATCTTCCAACATATGGAGAATCAAGTTGACCTTGTTAAACTATTCTAATCGTGTTGATTTTCGGTGCCATTGAGGCAATAAACAGTGTCTTTTTATGATTTACTAGCATAAAATGACAGGGAAGTAAATACAATGGAGTAACAATTTCTATTTTTTTTTTTGGAGCTAGGGGAGGGGAGACGTTAAGTATAAGATAGTGAATACTCACAATTTAAAAATAATCATCTTCAAATAGGAAAAAATATTAAAATAATAATAATAATAATAATCATGAGATATGTAAAGCCAAGCACATCCTCCAAATCTTCTAGGAAGATTGAAAGAAATTGTATTCATTGGACTTTTTATTACTTGAATTTTGCCTTATTCGAAAAAGGCCTTGTTCTTTTAAAGATTTATCTCGTGCTTGGTACGCATGTTTCACTCTCAAAGTCATTCAAATTGACATAAAACAGGTTCTAAAAAAACAGAACATGGTCATTGTAGCTGGCTTTCAAATTGCAGGAATATTGGTGGAACATGTTCATAAAATGTTCATCCACTACACTTCTCCTTTTTAATAGTAATTAACAATGGATCAGTGGTGAAAAAGTCTAAAACACTTCTTTAGAAAAATATAGCAAGGATGCCTTTTGTAAATATAAATAGAAGCATGCCAGAATCAACGTACAAGCACAACCCTCTTGCCTTTCATCCAAAGTTCCAAACTTCAAAAGAGAAAGCTGGGGAGAAGAAGAAGAAGAAGATGGTCCACGACGAACACAACTAGCACTATAAACAGGCACTACAGGATGCAAAAAACAAAGAACCAATGCCATGGATCGGCGTCTATGTTGCAGTAGCATCTCTAATATGCTCCCTTGCAATGGCTGCTGATGTCTTTCACGGGTTTCACCACAAAAAACTCTGGTTCCCGTGCAAATTTTTCGTTCTCAATGCTGCTTCGCTGACATTGTTATCCGTAGCAATGAAGCTACCAGTTGATCTAAGTACCGACATGCCAGGAAAAATGGATCAGCTGGCAAAACTTAGCAGCACCACTTTTCTGCCTACAGCAATAGGTAACTTTATGCCATCTTTAGGATCCATTGATGATAAAGATATTTTCATGAACATAACAGCCTTGACTATTTTTGTAATCACCATTCTTACGAATATCTGCATCCAATTAGGTACTGGGCTACTAAGTAACTTTCTTCGAATAGAACATACTGCTGTAATATTTTGTATGCTTGTTTTGTTTGTTATATCGAGTTTCTCAGCTTTGATGGTCTCAACGACTAAAAAGCACATACAGATGAAGTACATTGATGTACATAAAAAGGCTTCTAGTGAAGTTACAGAGGAAACTGAAACGTTCACTGTCGAGAAACTGAAAGAGAATGTGAAAAAATATTGGATGACGGCAGAAACCGGTAATCCTCAATTTGTAATGGCCCATTCTCTGACCTGCTCTGCTTCAGGGGCAATATGCTCTCTGACCACATCCATTCTAGCAGAAGCGGAGATCAGGACATTCTTGATGTCCAAAAATTATCCATACTATTTCAATTCGGATTATAAGTGGTCAATCTTCTTCGTTCTTGTGATTCAGTCTATTGGGGCGCTAATAGGTACAATTGGTCCAACCTTCAGATGGTTCACTGCAATAAGATCGAAACTCTCAGAGGAAAGAGGCAAGAGCAGCAAAAGTGTCTTGAAAGCAGAGAAGTACTGGATGGAAAGGCTTGTGTGGTGGAGAGAGAGCCCCTTAGCTTTACGAATCCGGGGCCAAAAGTGCAGAAAAGTTGTTCACATCACAAAGAATCTAATTCTGGACTTCTGCATTAATGTTCAGATTGTGATTGTCGCAGCTAGCAAATCCGTTTTGCTAGTCTCCGTTCTCTTAATAAGCCCGCTGTGGTTATGTTCCCACTACTACAGAGTGTTGAAGCGAAAGCTGGTATCTAAGCCTAGTGCCTCAAACAATCACACAGGATCAGAATCAGAATTGGAGCCCAATGCAAAGCTAGATCTTAGCTGTTACGTTTCGTATCTCAAAGGTGAGGAGGAACTAGCCCTGCAGATTATGAAGAACAACAGAAATGCGACAGATCATTTTATGCTTAATGGTAGAAAGAAGCACCCGAAATATCTGAAACAGCTTATAGAAAAATCCAGTGGTTTCATGGGTGTGGCAAAATTTGACAGTGACCACATTCCGTCTCTAGATTCTGAAGAGCTGCCTAATTGTTGGTCTCTTCCTGTGGTCACCTTAACAAGCATTGCCATAGCACTCCCGAACGTTGGAAATAATGAGGTGGACCGGTTACTTCGAAGCATTAGTGAAGGCCTCTTGTATGTCAGTCATGTAGAAAAATTTCTTGATGGCAAAGGAGAAATGGTAAACATCAGAAATGCAGCAAATATAGTGTGGTTAGAAGTCGACCTTTTCTGCAAGTGGCTAAACGAAGATCTCCAGAAAATGGCTCTTGAAGGAAAAACTTCCAAGGAAACTCTTGAGAGACTTGGTGACATAGCTAAAAACAAAGTCATGGAATTCAAGACGAATAGGACAGGAGATCTGCAGGAGAACCATCTGAATTGGCCCATCAAGGCTATTGCTGCTAATTCAATGTACAGTGTCAGCCAAACTGTGCTGCTCGACCACATAAGCAACAACGACGAGACTGATGAGAGACTGTTCGAGCAATTATCTGTCATGATCGCTGATATATTAAGTGCTTGCCTCACCAATTTGCCACGTGTAATAACTATGAAATGCTTTTGCAGTGCCATAGAAAAGCGGGAGAAGAGCATTCAGCATGCAGCTCATCTTCTTGGCGAAACTGAAGAGATTCTGGAAGTTCTTCAACATTATGAACTTCCTCCTCTGAATCCTGATGAAGCAGCATATCGATGAGTGGCGTGCTTTAATCAAACAGGAAATGCAGATAACTATTGTGTAGGAGGCCTCTTGAGAAAATACAGACAAAAATATATAGTTGTATGGTGTGTGCTGGTGTATAACCAACAATAGCACATCTTCTTCTTTAGCTATTGTACAATAAGTACTGATGTACAAGTTTTCTTAGCTTGGATAATGTGTGAATTCTCAGCATATATTTTAATGTGTGAAAGCTATATTGGACAATGGTATTTCTCCTTTTATAGACATATTATATTCATACGTGTCTATTTAAATTTTTATGATTTTTACACAGCCAATGCTCATGCATGCCAAAACTCAAATTTTAGTCTCCAGAGTAGGTGCTTTTTCCCAATACAAAAGCATGCACACTTACTTTGTCTAAATGAGGACTAATTATCATTTGATCTGGAAGTTTGATTCAACAAGCAACTCTAGTTGATACACAGTATGTTGATAGAAATGGATGTAATTAACAATGCAAGTATTATCCAACAAATAAATCGAGTAGATAGACGATTATATAGCAATGTTGGAGCATGAGGTTAATAGACAAGGTTCGTGCTCTGCACAATTCTGAATTTTATTTGGGGAACTCGATGTTGATATACGAAAGAAACAAACGATAGCTGAAAGGAAACCTACTGGAACAAACATGCAAGGTTGTTAGTAAAGTAGCAGCAGTTGGAGCTGGTTCCATTCCACCAAAACTCGGTTCTTGCCATGACTGGTTGTTGGAATGTGAGTTGTTTAAGTTACATCAATATGCTACTTATTGAGGTCCATATCTTATTAAGAGTACCTCTGTTGGAAATTTCTGATTCCTAGAAACTAGAGTAACAAATGAAAGTGCTGTGCCAACAGACGATCTAATACATTTTGTTAATTATCA